CGGTTGCACGCAGAGCGGGCCTAGACAAGACTGGACTTTGGCGTGCGACCTGCCGGCCGTTGCAGGCGGTGCGGCAGCAACAGCAGCTCGCGCTGCGTGAGCTTGAACCTCCGCCCCCCCCGGAAGTAACGCACCAAAGGTCGCTCCGGCGAACCGCTGCTCTTGCGAGCGCATGAGCCGCATACGATAGACAATCTCGAAATGAGAGATCTAGGATTCGGTCGGGCATGTCCTCCTACAGGCGGATTTGGAAGACAAGTCACATATTTGTAGTCAAACATGCTCAACCATAGTCAAAGCTAGTCGAAACATCGTCCCCGTACAATGTTTTCTTCGTCTAGTCTTTGATATGATTCCTGTGGAGGGACATGCCCGACTTCAATCTAGGGGCACGCTCGTCGTCGAGATCTCCGCCTCCTGAGGTGCCCCAGGCTTCGGTAGGCCCCGAAAGCCACTGGGGGGTGGGACCCTTCGGTGGGGCACCTGCTGGCGGGACGGCTTCTCACCTGCCGGGCCCTCTGTAGTATGAGAGAGGCCTCCCAGATGGGGTCTGGGTGCAGTCAGCTCGTGTCGTAAGGATGCGCGGTAAGGATGCAGGGCCTTGAAAGGCCACGTCGACACTTTCTGAGCGGGGCGCGGCCAACGAAAGGTGGCTAAGCATGGACCGAGGAGGCAAGGATGCAGGGGTACCCTTGGAAAGGCTGCCCATCCTTACCATTCGGGTGGACTGTAGATGGGGTCGGAGGATCGCGCCGCATCGCCAATGCATCGCCGATGCATCGGCGACGGCGGAGATGCATCGGCGCCATCGGCGTGAAGAAACTCCGACTCCACATCGAGCCGCGTCGTCGATGCACCGCCGAGGCTGAGCGATCATGCGAACCCGTCTGCTCGGACCCCATTTGGCGTGTTCAAAAAGCCCCAAACCTAAAGACCCTGTCATCTCTCGAGAGGCCGATTTCAACTTCCGCCGTCCGAGAGGAGGCGGAGGAGGAGGAGGAGGAGGAGGAGGAGGAGGAGGAGGAGGAGGAGGAGGAGGAGGAGGAGGAGGAGGAGGAGGAAGCCTCGTTTTACTTCCGCCGACTTCCGCCGGCCTTCCGCCGCCTTCCGCTGGCCTTCCGCTGAGAAGAGATATCAACTGCTTCGATCCTCAAAGGCGCTGCCCTTTCTTGAATGCCGCAGGGCTCATCTGGGAGAGCTAGACCCCAGACCCCAGACGTCGTGTTTTTCCCAACCGCGTTCACTCCTTCCTTCCTCCCGCTGCCCCCTCCTCCCTCCTCCCCCTCCGCGTCAGCCACACCCATTTCGGTACACCCCTCATACGTTTCGTGGCCCCATAGGGAGCCCCACCGAGGGCCCCAATGGCTGCGTCCGCATGGGGTGGGGGGTGGGGGGGGGGGCGGCACCGCACCCATTTCGGCACACCCCTCTCACGTTTCGTGGCCCCTATAGGGAGCTCCACCAAGGCCCCAGTGGCTGCAGTCCGCACATGGGTGGGCGAAGGTCACCGCACCCATTTCGGCCACCCCTCTCACTGTTTCGTGGCCCCATAGGGAGCTCACGAGGGCCCCAGTGCTGCGGCCGAATGGCGGCCACCGCACCATTTCGGCACACCCCTCACACGTTTCGTGGCCCTAGGAGCTCCACCGAGGGACCAGTGGCTGCGTACCGCATGGCGGCACCGCCCCATATCGGCACACCCCTCACACGTTTCGTGGCCCCACAGGGAGCTCCACCGAAGGCCCCAGTGCTGCCGTCCGCATGCGTCCCGCACACCCATTTCGGCACACCCCTCACACGTTTCGTGGCCCCATAGGGAGCTCCACCGAGGGCCCCAGTGGCTGCGTCCGCATGGCGGCACCGCACCCATTTCGGCACACCCCTCACACGTTTCGTGGCCCCATAGGGAGCTCCACCGAGGGCCCCAGTGGCTGCGTCCGCATGGCGGCACCGCACCCATTTCGGCACACCCCTCACACGTTTCGTGGCCCCATAGGGAGTTCCCTCCCATGCGTTTAACCTGCTTTGCGGTACTCGTAACTGCATATGGTTGGGCCCATCGCCAGGATAATTGTTGGAAGGTAGACCCCCAGAGGTCTGGACCCCTTCCCAAAGACAGTTGTTTGATCCTGAATCGTGTTTGACGGTCCCGAGGCTCGGTAGAGCGCCCCAGACGCTGAAAATAGCAAAACACCTCCAGTCCTGATCTTTTTACGGCACGATCAGGTCTGGGATATCAGCTCCTTCGATTGTCGCAGGCGAAGCACTTCCTGGAATGCCGCAGAGCGCATCTTGGAGAGCTAGACCCAAGACCCCAAACGTCGTGTTTTTCCTAACCATCCTGTGATGGTGGGTCCTCGTTTTGAAGAGCGGTGCCCCGCGTCTCCTCTCCTCTCCTTCCTTCCTCCTCCTCCGCCTCCTCCTTCCTCCCTCCTCCCACCCCTCACACGTTTCGTGGCCCCATAGGGAGCTCCACCGAAGGCCCCAGTGGCCGCGTCCACATGGCGGCGCCGCACCCATTTCGGCACACCCCTCACACGTTTCGTGGCCCCATAGGGAGCTCCACCGAATGCCCCAGTGGCCGCGTCCACATGGCGGCGCCGCACCCATTTCGGCAACACCCCTCACACGTTTCGTGGCCCCATAGGGAGCTCCACCGAAGGCCCCAGTGGCCGCGTCCACATGGCGGCGCCGCACCCATTTCGGCACACCCCTCACACGTTTCGTGGCCCCATAGGGAGCTCCACCGAAGGCCCCAGTGGCCGCGTCCACATGGCGGTGCCGCACCCATTTCGGCACACCCCTCACACGTTTCGTGGCCCCATAGGGAGCTCCACCGAAGGCCCCAGTGGCCGCGTCCACATGGCGGCGCCGCACCCATTCCGGCACACCCCTCACACGTTTCGTGGCCCCATAGGGAGCTCCACCGAAGGCCCCAGTGGCCGCGTCCACATGGCGGCGCCGCACCCATTTCGGCACACCCCTCACACGTTTCGTGGCCCCATAGGGAGCTCCACCGAAGGCCCCAGGGCTGCCGTCCGCATGCGTCCCGCACACCCATTTCTGCACACCCCTCACACGTTTCGTGGCCCCACAGGGAGCTCCACCGAAGGCCCCAGTGCTGCCGTCCGCATGCGTCCCGCACACCCATTTCGGCACACCCCTCACACGTTTCGTGCCCCCATAGGGAGCTCCACCGAAGGCCCCCCAGTGGTGCGTCACGTGGCGGCTGCTTCACCCATTTCGGCTCGCCCTCACGCGTGTCGTGGCGCCCATAGGGTGCTACCACGAAGGCCCAGTGGCCGTCGTTCCACATGCGGTCGCCGCACCATTTCGGCCACAATCCTCACACGTTTCGTCGGCCCATAGGGAGCTCCTCCGAAGGCCAATGGCGCGTCCTCATGGCGGCCCGCGCACCCATTTCGGTACACCCCTCAAACCGTTTCGTCTGTGCCCATAGGGAGCTACCGAAGGCCCCCAGCGGCCGCGTCCACATGGCGGCGCCGCCACCATTTCGGCTAAACCCCTCTCACGGTCGTGGCCCCATAGGGAGCTCACACGAAGCCCCAGTGCTGCGTTCGCATGGCGGCGCCGCACCCATTTCGGGCAAACCCCTACGGTTTCGTGGCCCCATAGGGATGCTACACGAAGGGGCCCAGTTTGCTAGCGTTCGCATGGCGGGGGGGCGCCGCACCATTTCGGCTCACCCCTCACACGTTTCGTGGCTCCATAGGGAGCTCCACCGAAGGCCCCAGTGCCCGCGGCCGCATGCGTCACCCACACCCATTTCGGCACACCCCTCACACGTTTCGTGGCTCCATAGGGAGCTCCACCGATGGCCCCAGTGGCCGCGTTTCGGCGCACCCCGGGGGCGCCGCACCATTCCGGCACACCCCTCACACGTTTCGTGGCCCCATAGGGAGCTCCACCGAAGGCCCCAGTGGCTGCGTTCGCATGGCGGCGCCGCACCCATTCCGGCACATCCCTCACACGTTTCGTGGCCCCATAGGGAGCTCCACCGAAGGCCCCAGTAGCTGCGTTGGCATGGCGGCGCCGCACCCATTTCGGCAAACCCCTCACACGCTTCGTGGCCCCATAGGGAGCTCCACCGAAGGCCCCAGTGGCTGCGTTCGCATGGCGGCGCCGCACTCATTTCGGCACACCCCTCACACGTTTCGTGGCCCCATAGGGAGCTCCACCGAAGGCCCCAGTGCTACCGCCCTCATGCGTCCCGTACGCCCAGGACAGCGTTTCGTGGCACGCCTTTCGTGGCCCCATAAGGAGCCCCACCGAAAGAGGCACCCACAAAGCGTTATTCACAATTGCATATGGTTGGGTCCTTCGCCAGGATATTTTTTTGGGGGGGGAACATATACCCCCAAATGTGTTTCATCCTGAATCGTTTGTGACGGTTCCGAGGCCCGGTAAGAAACCCCAGACGCTGAAAATAGTGAAACAACTCCCGTCCTGATCTTTTTGCGGCACGATCATGTCTGGGAGATCAGCTCATTCGATCCTAGCAGGCGAGGCCCTTCCTGGAATGCCGCAGGGCTCATCTGGGAGAGCTAGACCCCAGACTCCAGACGTTCTGGGCTTTTTGCTCACAACGTCGACCCCCAGAGGTCTGGACCCCCTTCCCCGGGACCGGGAGGGTTGGTCGGTAGCCTTAAGTCGGGCGTGCCCCTCTACAGGAGGAATGTTCAAAAATAGTCCACAAATAATATGGGGACGTTTGTCTTGGGTTCCCCCAATTTCTCGTCCAAAATCTGCCTGTAGGGGGACATGCCCGACCTCCTAAGGGTAGCCAAGGCTTAGTGCGGGCATATCCACCTACAGGGGGATTTTGGACGACAAATAAAACAGACCCCAAACATAACCGAAAGAAGCAAAACACAATCACAAAATCGTCCCCAGACTATTTTTCTATTATTGTTGGATCTTCCTCCTGTAGAGGGACAGGCCCGACTTAAGGCTAGACGGTAGCCGATGCGGGCCGCGGCCTTCGACGTGCTGCGCGCGTTGACGTCCACGCTGGCCTGCAGCAGCTGCCTCAGCACCTGCGCTCCCTCGGGGGCGGCCAAGAGGGGGGTGTCAAAGAGGGGGGGGGGATGCAAATCATGGCTTGCGGCACGTGCGCGGCCCAGGGGGGTGGGCCAGGCAACGCATTGAAATAAGAAGCGCCAGGAAATCTGGGAAAATATCACGGCCACCGTCATGATATCCCTCCCCCCCCTAGTCTTAGGTCGGGCGTGTCCCCCTGCAGGCGGACTTCGGACGAAAAATTCAAAATACCCCACAATATTCAGAAATTGTCAAAATATGCCAAAATATTCAAAATTGTCAAATATGATCGGCGGTGGACAAACCTGCCTTTAGTAGACCTCCCCTTAATGAAAACGGCCTGGGACCGAGACCGACGGACCTGGACCCGCAAAAATGACGGCCGCGACGCCCTCTCGCGAACCGGAAACGGCCAATTCCTTAATCGACGTGTCAGGGTAGGGGGTCTGTCCACCCCGGATTGTTTTTAAACAAGATGTTGGAATATTCCTCCTGCGGAGGGGCACGCCCGACTTAAACCCTAGTCAGCACCCCCCTCTTTGCTGCCCCTGCCCTCCCCGGGCGGGGCGGGCGCCGCTCCCCGGGCGCCCTCTCGGCCGGCCGCCCAGCCGCCGCGGGGCCGAAGGTCCCCTCGACTCATGCTGCCCCCATCGTAGTTAAGGACTAGATCCCAAAAGTAATCTCTCCTCGCTCCTCGCTCCTCCTCGCTCCTCCTCCTCCTCCTCCTCCTCCTCCTCCTCCTCCTCCTCCTCGCTCCTCCTCGCTCCTCCTCCTCCTCCTCCTCGCTCCTCGCTCCTCCTCCTCCTCACTCCTCGCTCCTCGCTCCTCCTCCCCCTCCTCCTCGCTCCTCCTCCCCTTCCTCCTCCTATCTGGCGCGCCGGAAATGACGGCGGCCGAGAGGGCGGTCACTGAAGAGCACCCAGAACTTATGTTGCCCCCATCGTATTTGAGGACGAAATTTAAGTCGGGCCTGTCCCTCTACAGGAGGAATAGTCAAGGATAGTATGAAATAGCCTGGGGACAATGTTTTGACTACTTTTGACCATGTTGGGCTATTTTTGGGGGTATTTTGCACTTTTCGCCCAAAATCCCCCTGCAGGGGGACATGCCCGACCCAAGACTAAATCCCCCAAATAATTCCGAACACCCAGAAACATATCGAAACGGTGTCGAACGAGCATCGCCTCCCAGGGCCCGACACGTGAAATCCCTCCAGTTGCGGCATTTCAAGTGGTGCTCGAAATCCTTTCTGGCGGTTCAGGCTGAAGACGGTTGGAACATTATAACACTCGGCGTCGCCGAGCTCGGCTGCCCAGACATGCTCGCGTCGTGAACAAACATCAGGATGTTTTTTTTGTTTGTCAAATTCGGCCTCCTAGGTGGCCGTCGCTGGGCGCCGGGGCGGTGACAAAAACGACGCAGGATGAAAAGCCGGCCCCGGGGAAGGGGTTGGGACTTTTCCTGGGACCGCGTATGGAAAAACATCAGGACGTTGCATTTCTGGGTGGCCTGCGCGTACGAATGTCGGTTACCAGGTATCCTGCTGATCAGTGTCACCTGTGTAGCCTAGCCTTCTGGCGAAGCCCTGACCGCCGAAACGCTGGTCCCAGGCAGGCCGTTCTGCGCGGCGGAAGGGGGAAGAGGAGGGGAGAAGCAGGCAGACGAAAACGAACGCGCAGGCGAAAGGCCAGGGCCACCGGGGCGGGTGGGGAGACGGAAAGGGAAGCCTGTCCTTGCGAGCCCAAGCGTCCGACGAGATGTTTGTTTCATTCCTGGCGTTTTTCTTCGATTTCGGCCTCCAGGGCGTGCTTCGATTTTGTCCGCAGCGCAATGCGGCCTTCGAGCAGGGGTCGGATTTTTATGGCCGCTGACTGAACAAATAATATCGGGGGATGCCTGAGACTGTCGGTGGTATGCTCTTGTCAATTTCGGTGGTTTGCCATTGCGAACTCCAGCGGCCGGTTGATTTCCCAGATGTTTTCTGAAGTTCCTGTTGATCCTGATTGTTTTTCGCACGAGCGTTATCTGAGACCCCGTAGAGGCTTGCCTCTCTCGAAGGCTTCGGCTGACTTCCGGCCAGATCTTCGATCCCCTGCGATTCCCGTCCTCTGGTGCAAATCTGGGAGGATGCCTTTCTCGTGGCCTGTCGTGAGGAGCAGCGGCAGAACTGCCACCCTCCCTGAGTCCACTTCAGAGCCCCCTCCGATGAGCCTGTCCAAGCGGGGCCCGCGATGCCCAGGAGGCCCTGAGGATTTGCACCAGACCTGGCACGGCGGGTCGTCGCACTGTCGTCCAAGACCAACGGACCATGGATTTTCCGGTGACTCGGACCTCGGGCCATGCTTAATCAATTGCACTCCGACGGAAGCTTCCTGACGTCGCCAGCGTTGCCCAACGCTGACTTCCCAAACCCCTGCAGCCCGAGCCGAGAAATTTGCAAGCGCGGCGAAAGCCCCCGGAGGTCGAACATTGCCCCCCCAAACCCTCGCCTATACATTCTCTTGCAACGAGAATGGGCGGGGGGAAGAGTCCAGCTCAGCAGGGGTAGGTAAGTCAGACGCTGACGTGGGACGACTGTCCGCGTTTTGGAAAAAGGTGGGGAAAAGGAAAGCGAACCCCCCAACGGCGCTCAGGCCGCGCGGGCTCGGGCGGCCTCGGCTGCACGGGCTGCTGCTATAGCCTCCCGGCGCCGGCGAGCCTCCTCCGTGTTCGCCGCAATACGGGCGGGAGGATGGAGGTCTCAAGCTCCTTGAAGTGCAGCGCGAGTATGGCGGCTGCGGCGGGCCATTGCCCTCGCACGTGCCATGAGGCAGGGGGAGGAGGAGAAGGAGGAGGCCAGCCCCTCCCCCTCCAGGGGGGAATGCCCTCACTCCGCCTCCTCCTTCTCTTCCTCCTCCCATTGCTCCTGCTCCTCCTGCTCCTCCTGCTCCTCCTGCTCCTCCTGCTCCTCCTGCTCCTCCTGCTCCTGCTCCTCCTCCTCCTCCTCCTCCTCTTCCTCCTCCCCCTCTTCCTCCTCTGAAGCCCCCTGGAGGCCGAGCGCGCGACTCAAAAACCCAAGGCGCCTCCGAAATGATCTCCAGGAGAGCCTCGATGCGGTCGGCAACATGTGTTCTTCTACGAAAATTCAATGTTGTGTAGTTTTCACGTCAGCGGTCGAAGTTTGGTCCACTTGCGGTCGTCGAGGACCCTGAGAGGCCCACTGAGAGCCTCAAGAAGGCCCTCCCGCCGTGACCTTCCTCGCAGCGAGAAGAATTTTTGTGGGGGGGAAGGGCCCCCGGGGAAGGCGAGGAAGGAGGGCCCCCTCCCTTCACTCCAGGGGGGAATGCCCCCAGGGCTTCCCCTGCCCTCAAGGAGGGCTACCCCCCGCCGGGGCGAGGCCGGGGGACTTGCGGCGGCGCGCGGATGTCGATGCTTCGGCTGCTTGCGCTTCAAGTGTCTCCGCCCTGTCGCCCAGGACAGACCTGGGGGTAGGCGGCAGGCTCGTTTTCGCTACCGTCGCACATGCTTCGCGACCTCGGAAATTTGACCAGCATGATCCGGGCGGGCATGTGCGTCCGAGGCCCCGTCCCGTCAGCTCGCTCCCGCGGGGCGCCCGGCTCGCCCCAGCGGCCGCGCCTCGGTGTGCCCGCAGCCGGCGGCGAGGTGCAGGGCCGTGGCGGAGCAGGGGTTGTCGAAAGCGGAAAACCTCGGCGCCCCACGGGCGTGGAAGGAAGGGGGGGGAGGAGGAGGAGGAGGAGGAGGAGGAGGAGGAGGAGGAGGAGGAGGAGGAGGAGGAGGAGGAGGCGGAGGAGGAGGAGGGGGAGGAGGACAAGGAGGACAGGAGGAGGAGGAGGAGAAGGAGGAGGAGGACGAAAGTGATGGAGATGGAGGAGATGAGGAGGAGGAGGAGGAGGAGGAGGGAGGAGGAGGAGGAGGAGAGGAGGCGGAAGAGGAGGAGGAGGAGGAGAGGGGGAGGAGGAGGAGGTGGAGGGAGGAGGAGGAGGACTAGGAGGAGGGAGGAGAAGGAGGAGGAGGAGGAGAGGAGGAGGAGGAGGAGGAGGAGGAGGAGGTGAAGGAATGAAATGAGGAGGAGGGAGGAGGAAGAGGAGGAGGAGCAAGGAGCAGGAGGAGGAGGAGGAGGAGGAGGAGGAGGAGGCGAGACGACCTCCAACGATGCGTTTTTTTCGATGCTGTCGTTTCTCCCTCGACTTCGGCCTCCCCTAGCCTGGCAAGCGGCCCCAGGAGCAGCAAACATGGATTATATGAACGGGGCGCAGAACTAACCCCAGGGAGGTGTGGTCGGGACGTCCAGGGGGAAGCGAGCAGGTCCAGCCCTGTCACAGGGCCTCCTTCGCCTTCTGCTCCATCTCCTCCTGCCTCCTGCTCCTGCCTCCTCCTCATGCCTCCAACTCCTGCCTTCTTCTCCTCGTGCTCCTCGTCCTCCTCCCGCTGTTCCTTTCTTCGGCGCCGAGGGCAGGAAGGACCCCGACCTCTGGGCGCTGTGACAAATCGCGACGTCATCTGGTGTTTCCGAGGATCTTTCCATCCAGTGCCATCTTCATTAGCAGCGATCTGGAACTGGCGGGCGGTGGCCTCGCTGGCGAGCCCCGTGTCGCAGTTCTGTGCGACGCCCTTGAAGGTTGGTGTGGCATCTTGAATGGGAGCAGAATGCCGAGCCCTGGCTTGTTTATGGAATGGGCCCTCGTCTTGGCAAGGGCAGGGCGTGGCCACGTGCCGATGTACTGCTTGCGGTCGTTGGTGGTCGTTGGTGGAGTAGGTGGCTGCGCCAAGAAGGGTGCCGATAGTACCAGCTCGATGAGGAGGAGGTGTCGAAGACCCAGGTCCGGACTGCGGCGCAGTCATTGATTCCATTTGAGACATCATCGCGAGCGTGTTGACGAGCTGGGCGATCTGCTCCCGTTGCTTGTCGATGTGCGTCCTGAGGCCGATGATCGAGTCTTCATGCGCGTGGAGCTTGTTCTATGTCTTGGACTTGCCCTCCTGCACCTGGACGATGGCACGATCCACCTGCTCCTTCATGATGGCTTCGAGCTGCTCGATCATCCCAGGACCAGGTGGGAGTCGAAGTGCCACCCACGGAATGTCTGCTGCTTCTGGTTCTGGAGGACCGAGGCGGAGACGCCGAACTGAGCGGAGACGACCGGAGACGAGCACGTGCAACTACTTCCCGGCGGGCAGCAGGGAGGAACCTCGGCTCGACGAACTCACAGCGCCTCTTGGCCTGGATGCGCATGTCACCACTGTGGATGAGCGCCTGCGACCAAAAGTACTGTGAATGCCTCTATGTGCCCACAGCCGCGGGCGCTACGCAGGAAGGAGCCGCAAGAGAGACGCGCAAACGCTGTCTCGGTCCGAGAGAGGCGCGAGCAGGTCGGACCTTTGGCGGCCAGGAGGAGGAGGAGGAGGAGGAGGAGGAGGAGGAGGAGGAGGAGGAGGAGGAGGAGGAGGAGGAGGAGGAGGTTGGACCTGACAATGTGCGAAGTGCCAGCCCGAACCTCGACACGCGACGCTGAATCCTCCCCTCCGGCGGCGTCCAAACTCGAAGCGCCACGGACCCACGCTTCGAACTCGAGCCAACATTGCCACGGATGGGAGGTGGGGAGGAGGGGAGGAGAGGAGGAGGAGGAGGAGGGTAGGAGGAGAAGGAGGGGAGGAGGAGGAGGAGGAGGAGGTCGAGAGGAGGAGGAGGAGGAGGAGGAGGAGGAGGAGGAGGAGGAGGAGGAGGAGGAGGAGAGGAGGAGGAGGAGGAGGAGGAGAGGAGGAGGAGGGGGAGGAGGTTGGATGGGAGAGGGGGGGGCGGCAATGGGGAGCGGAGGAGTGAAGGGAAGGGTCGTGGACCTCGGCATCGAGGAGCAGGAAAGGCATGGAACGCAAGGGATGGGATGGGGACAGAGGGGGAGTGGCTCCTCCTCCTCCTCCTCCTCCTCCTCCTCCTCCTCCTCCTCCTCCTCGGGGAGGGCGAAGGGGGGGGGCGTTCGGCGGCGAGCGCGGGGGGGAAGTGAGAAGGAGCAGGCCTCCTGAGAAGGCGGCGGGACTTCTCAGGAGGCTGGGGGGCTTCCGAGCCTCCGGAGAAGGCCCGCCCCTTCTCGCGTCCCCCCCAGGCTCGCCGCCGAGGGGTGGCAAGACAGGCGCGCTCGCGACATGCCTGACATCGTGCCCCCTGCAACCCATCCCTTCCCACTGCGCGAATGCTTTGCCCATCCACCCCGACGGGTGTCTGAGCGGACCCGGATCCCAAAAGTGACCCCGCCGTCGCCGTCGTCGTCGTCGTCGTCGTCGTCGTCGTCGTCGTCGTCAACGTCGTTTTCGTCGTCGTCGTCGTCGTCGTCGTCGTCGTCGTCGTCGTCGTCGTCGTCGTCGTCTTCGTCGTCGTCGTCGTCAACGTCGTTTTCGTCGTCGTCGCCGTCGTCGCCGTCGTCGTCGCCGTCGCCGTCGCCGTCGCCGTCGTCGCCGCGACGGAGGGGCGCGATGGCGAGGGGGGCTTCGACCGCGGCCGTGGGTCTCACTCGCTGGGCGGGCGGGCCGAGGCGGGGACGTGCAGGCAGTCGTCGGGTCCACCCCCAGGTCGAGCAGCTCGGCCATGAGACTGCCGGCGGGGAGGCGCGGGGCACCAACGGGCCTTCCGCCACAGCTCCCAGGTCCCCTCCCCCCCTCCCGGCTCCCCCTCTCTCCCGCCCTCCCCCTCTCTCAGACCCCGTCCCGGTGTTCCTCTCTCCTCGTCCGCCCCACCCTCACCCTCATACTCCTCATTCTCACCATCCCGTCCCTCCTCCTCCTCCTCCTCCTCCCCTATCTTCCTCCTCCTCCTGCTCTGCCCCGCCATCCCCTGGCCCTTCCTCCCCCCTCCCCCTCCCATTTCCCCTCCTTTTCCTCCTCCTTCTCCTCTCCTCCTTCTCTTCTCTTTCGCTTTCTTCTGTTTCCCCTCCTCCTCCTCCTCCTCCTCCTCCTCCTCCTCCACCCCATCCTCCGCTTCTCCGCCCCTTCCCTTGCCGCGGCGCCTGTGACCATCCCGGTGGATGGCAGCAATATGGACAGCTCGCCCCTCGTGGTTCCGCTGCTTGTACCTGAAGCTGAAGATCTTCTTGCTAAGCGCCTCCTACGGAGGTACCGTGACAACGCCGACGCCGCTGCTCCACCTCCCCAGCCCAGTCCACCGTCTGCTGCTCGTCCTCGCCCTTTCTTCCTCCTCCGCCTCCGCCTCCGCCTCCGCCTCCTCCTCCTCGTCGTCGTCCTCCTCCTCCTCCTCCTCCGCCTCCTCATTTGCCTCCTCCTTTTCCGCCTCCTCCTCCGCCTCCTCCTCCTCCTCCGCCTCCTCCCCCCCTCCACGTCGTCCCCCGCTCTCCCCAGCGCATCCTCTCAGTCCAGCTCCTCGCCGCCACCCCCGTCACGCTGCCCCCTGCCTGTCCGCCCCATCCCCACTTCAGGCCTCTTCTCCTTCTCGTCATCTTCTCTCCTCCTCCTCCTCCTCCTGCTCCTCCTCGCGGTCGTCGTCCTCACGTATCTCCAACTCCTTCTTCGTTGAGGTTCTGTGGACATTTCGAAATCAACCACTCTAAGTATTGCGTAGTGTCAGACAGGACGGCGACGTTATGAACGATCATCCAGACGAGCTAGAAACATGGGGGATCTGTACAACGCGCGGATCGAATAGGAGACGCGCCATGTCGCTGTTTTGACATTTGCGAATGCTTGCGCGTTTGAACCGAACATGGAATTGGGGTAGAGGAGGTGCCGCCGTCGGGCATCACAGAAGAGAATACATATCCATACAGAGAGAGAGAGAATAACAAAATAGAGAGAGAGACATATACATATATAACGACTGAGGAATAGGAATGGGCAGACCATGAACAGGATAAACAATGAGAACACGATACAGAGCGAAAGAGAGATACATAGTGAGAGAGAGAGGGATGAAGAGAGAGAGAGAGAGATAGAGCGACAGATAAAGAGAAAGAGAGAGGAAGAGAGAGGTGCAGCCACTTCAACACCAACGGCACCAGCAGCAAGCATTTAAAGACTGCTCGCACTTACCTGCCCGCGTGTCACTCAACAAGTATGTCCCCAGCCTTCGATCCCCGCTTCCCTCGTCTTCGGTCGCGCCCCCTGCGGGTGGTACACCCTCCTCAGCTGCCGCGTGCAGTTGGCGCGGCCCCTAGAACAGAGGGGGTGGGCGGGAGGAGCGGGCGAACAAAGGAGGAGGAGAAGGAGGGTGGAGGAGGAGGAGGAAGAGGAGGAGGAGGAGGAGGGTGAAGGAGGAGGAGGAGGAGGAGGAGGGGGAGGGAGGAGGACGGAGCATCAGCGCCTCCGCAGCCAGCGCAAGAGAAAGGACGGAGCACGAGAGAGACTGGCAGGAGGGGAACTGTAGGGGGCCACGCGCGAACCCTACCCCTGCCCCCCCACGACTTCCGAGGGGGAGGGGTGGGTGGGTTCACTTCTTTCATGAGCTCCCGAGCGAAGTGAACCCCGCCCTCCCCCTCGGAAATCGTGGGGGGGGGGGGCAGGGGTAGGGTTCGCATGTGGCCCCCTATCTGGCGCACCCCAGACCTCGCCATCGCTCGGACGTCCATTCCCTGTGCTTTTGTTCGGCTTCGTGCGTGGCTTTTTCATGGCCGCCGCCGAGAAAAAACATGCACACGTCCGAGCGATGCCAGGAGACAAGTGCACCCGAAAGGCCGAGACATTCTCCGGTCCTTCGCTGCCCAGGGCCAAGGCGGGCACAGCACGACGGCGAGCAGCACGACGGCGGGTCGGGCGAGGGCGCGCCCCAGCAAAAGGCGGGCAGGGCGGGCGGGCGCGGGCGCCCCGGGTCGAGCGGGCGGGCCGCGGAAGCGGCAGTCGTCTGCAGGAACTGCGAGGAGGTCTCGGGCGACGGCGCGCTGCGCAGACACGCCGGGAGGAAGTCCAGGGCGAGGGCGCGGTTCCCAAGCGTGGAAGGCGAGGACCTGCGAGGAACTGCGAGGAGGCCTCGGGCGACGGCGCGCTGCTCAAAGAAGCCGTGGGAAGTCCAGAGCGAGAGCGCGATTCCTAAAGCGTCGAAGGCGCGGCGTCAGAGTACACACTGCGAGGAAGTCCCCACGCGAGAGCCCGATGCCCAGATCAAGTGTGAGGTCCCGCGCGACAACAGCAGTGTGTGTGTGTGTGTGTTACTCTGTGAGGAAATGTCAGGCGGGAGCCAGTGTAGAAGTCCACAGGGGCCAACAACACAATCTGAACCTCATTCCTTGTAAAAAAACTGGGTGCGCGCCCCGGGAAGGACATTTCAATTCAAAAATCACGAGGTGCAGCGGAGGGGCGGGGTGTCAACAACAAGTGTTGTTCATGATTTTAGCATGTACGACGCAAGGAACAATGTAACTCTAGAGGGAACGGGATACGGATGTATACGCGGAGGGATCTATATCTATAGGGAGAGGGAGAGGGAGAGAGCGAGAGAGAGGCAGAGAGAGAGAGAGACAACAACAACAAACAAGAGAAATAGAGAGAGAGAGACAACACAAACAAGGGAGAGAGCGCGAGGGAGAGAGAGAGAGAGAGAGAGACAGAGAGTGAGAGAGAAAGACACCTACATTTACACATATGTATACATACGTATACAGAGATCTGACGACACGCTCGCACGCATCCCCCTCTCAACATGATTGTGGGGGTTGGCTGCTCCTGCGCGTGCTCGCGATGCTCGTGTCCTTGCCCCCCGCACACCTGCCTCGGCTGCGCCCGAGAGTACCCCTCTCTCGCCTCCACCCCCACGACGACCCCGTCAAGGAGGGAGGATGCCATGCGTCGCATCCGCAGAGATCTTGCTATGCGACGATGAATGGACGGGTCGGCGCCGCGACTGAAATCTCACGCGTCGCTGCGCGCTTGGTCAAAAGTCGAGCGTGTCGCGCCGTGCGCGGTGGCGCAGATGCGCCACATCGGCAACGAAATGTACGTTTTTGGCGCTGGGCAAGGGCCCGCGGCGCCAAACAGATTCTCCGCGCGGGGAAGGGCTCGCGCGTTGCATCGGCGGCGGTCTCGGAACGCGTGCTTCGCGCGGGGCCCTCGCTCCGCGAAGGAGGTGGCGCCTCGATGCGCGACTAGGCGCGCGCTACCGGCGCGCGGGGTTTCGCGATGGTCGAAACTTCGCTCTGCAATCCCAGCATAGCGCAGGCGGTGCCCGCGCGCGTCGCGCCATGCCTGGTATTGCACTTGCGCGAAATCGGCGAAAGCTTTGGAGCGCGCTTTCTCGCTCTGGTGTCGGCGCGCGGCGCCAGGCAACCTCCTGGCGAAACCAGGGTAGCGCTCGAGCACGCGGGGCAAGATTCGTGCGTCGCATCGGCCGCGGCCTCGGCGCGTGATTTGCGCACGGGTTGTGGCACGTGGCGCCGAGCAGCTTCCCCGCATGATTGGGCAGCGCTCGCGCGCGCAGGGAAGGACTCGCACGCTGCATCGACGCAAGTCTCGGAGCGCAATGTCTCGCGGCGGCGTCGGCGCGCGGCGCCGAGCGGATCGCGCGAGCTGGCGGCGCTCGAGCTGGCGGGGGAGGGCTCGCCCGTCGCACCTGCAGCGGCCTCGGCGCGCGAGCTTCGCGGGGGAGCCGGCGCGCGGCGCCGCGCAGCGTCCCCGCGCAAAAAACTGGGCAGCGCTCGCGCGCGCAGGGGGGGGCACCCGCGCGTCGCGTCGGCGGCGGCCTCGGCGCGCGATTTGCGCACGGGGTGCGGCACGCGGCCCCACAGCAGCTCCCGGCTACGCGTAAGAGTGACCCTGGGTAAGAGTGACCTTTGGTGCGCGGCTTTTTGGGGGCCGCGGGGGGGCTAAACACAAGCGCGCAAGACGCCACTGCCGCCTCGCGTTCGGCGATCGGGGACCCCAATGGGCCCGCACCAAAGGTCACTCCGGCGAAGGGTCACTCTTACGTGTAGCCGAAGCTCGCGACCGCAATGCCCTATTCGAAACGAGAACCCAACGCAGGAGGGCCGGGGGAGACGACCGTGCGGCGCACACTTGCTGATCTCAAGATCCCCTGCTCAGGCCTTCAGCTCTCACAGATCGGTTCACATACTACTCCAGATTTCGTAATAAAGGGAGGGGGGTCTCATTTCGGGGGGGGTCTCTTCCAGGCTATCTTGGAGGGCCTGGGGGGGTCTGGGGACGATGTTTTGGAGGGTTCTCCCACGGGGGGGGGTCTGAAATGGCTTGTCTTGGAGGGTCCAGACCCCCTCCCTTTTATTACGAAGTCTGGAGTATGTTTTCTCCACATCCCGATCGCACATCTGCTGATCTCAACATCGCTTTCTGAAGCCCTCAACCTGCACGATCCGATGCAACACGTTGTTTCCTTCACATGCACGATGGAAATATGCGCCGCTCACGATCGTCGGCAAAAACAATATCCGAGGCACACCTGCTGATCTCAACATCGCCTTCTACAGCCTTCAAGCTTCACGACCCGATGCTAACAGTTTTCTAAATCATGCCAAAACCACCCCCCAAATAAACCTTTCACGATGGAAATCTGTACCGCTCACGATTCTCTGGCCTGGCACAAGGTGCCCCCCCCGGAGCCCTCTCTGGCGCAAGTGTGCCTTCATGGGGGGGGGGGGTAAGAAATCCTCCCCCCCCCCGTCTCCAGCGCAAGAGGAGGGTGGGGTGGGGTTAGAAACCCCCGCCCTCACCGTTCAACTGGGGGATGGGTGTCCAAAGTTTCTCCCCCCACCCCTTGAAGGTGGGTGGGTGTGTGCGAGCACCCCCTCATTTTCAATTGGAGGGGCATCCGCCGACGCTCTTTCCACAAGGGAAGGATGGCGCGGTCTGCCTTCCGCACCGCCAGAAGGCGGGCGAGCTCACCCTCGCCCGCTGGCGCAGCTCACCTGGCACTCCGCTGAACGCGCCGACCATCAACCGCTCGCTGCCAGATGGTAATCGATAGCGGCGCTCGCTCCAGAGAGAGAAGACGGAGAGAGAAAGGGCGAGAGGGAGAGAGAGAGGACACGGATAGAAATAAAGAGAGAGAGAGAGGGAGGGAGAGAGAGAGAGAGAGAGAGGGGGAGAGAGAGGGAGAGAGAGAGAGAGAGAGAGAGAGGGAGAGAGAGAGGGAGAGAGAGAGAGAGACAGATCCATACTCAGGCGTTTCCCAAGGTGTCCCCAGCCCGAGGTGCTCCCAGGATCCGCACGGAGGCCAAGATGGCCTCTGGAGCACCCTGCACGAGGCCTGGAGGGCATCGGGGCTCCAAGCTGTGGCGAAAAGCTGGGGACACCTTGGGCCCGGGCCGCTTCTAGCAACACCCGACGTACGCTTGCCCCCCCCCCCCCCCCCCCCCTATCATTATCAGTATCAATTCATGTTCGCAGGTCGAATGATACTTGGTTATCATGATCTTATTGTTCGTATTACTGTTCGTACGAGTCATATATGTATGTGTGCGTATCTATATATGTGCATATATACACGTATTATTGCGATTACCAGATCATATTATCCGCGATCACACCCATGACTGCCCCCCCCCCCCTTGGTCACCTCACGATCCGCGCTGACACCGTCTGGGACCTGGCTGGTCTCCTGTGCTCCCCGACGGCGCCCGCGCGCGTCGTGACGTGACCCGCCCCATCCCCCCCGGCCGCGCCTGCTGACGCCCGGGGATAATACGAAAACTGGTTCTATCCACGAGGAGGAGGAGGAGGAGGAGGAGGAGGAGGAGGAGGAGGAGGAGGAGGAGGAGGAGGAGGAGGAGGAGAAGGAGGAGGAGAGGGAGGGGGGAGGAGGAGGGAGGAGGAGGAGGAGGAGGAGTGAGGAGGAGGAGTAGGAGGAGGAGAGGAGGAGGCGGAGGAGGAGGAGTGGAGGAGGAGAAGGACGGAGGAGGAGGAGGAGGAGGGGGAGGAGGGGGGATGAGATGATGATGATGATGACGATGATGGTGATGAGTGATGATGCATGATGATGATGATGATGATGATGATGATGATGATGTGATGAGATTGATGATGATGATGATGAAATGAGAGGAGGAGGGGAGGGGAGGAGGAGCGGAGGAGGAGCGGAGGAGGAGGAGGAGGAGGAGGAGGAGGAGGAGGAGGAGGAGGAGGAGGAGGAGGAGGAGGACATCCAACCTTCGGGCGTTGGCAGAACTGGGTTTAGTGGAACCTGGTCTAGTGATGTGTACCGGGGGGCGCCCCCCCTCGCCCCATCTCCACTAACCGGAACTGCCGTCGCCCGAAAAACACCGGCTACGGCAAACCTGGTTTAGTACATCTGGCCAATTGAGGGGCCCCAGGGCCCTACCACTAACCGGGCCCCCTTCCCCGGGGTCCTGGCTGTACCCGAAACTTCCTCCCTTCTCAATCCCGCCGCCTTCCGGCCCTCTCCTTCCCCTCGCCCCAGGCGCTGGGAGCGCGCGCGCGGGGGCAGCAGAAGGCGCGGGGGGTCCCTGGCGAAGATCCGGGCCGTCTCCCGCAGCTCGGCCAGCTGCTCCGGCCCACGCGGTGCCTGCGGCGGCGAGGGCATCCCTGGGCACCTACCACGCTGAGGACGGAGGAGGAGGAGGAGGAGGAGGAGGAGGAGGAGGAGGAGGAGGAGGAGGAGGAGGAGGAGGAGGAGGAGGAGGAGGAGGAGGAGGAGGAGGAGGAGAGGAGGAAGGGGAGGAGGGGGAGGAGGGGGAGGGGGAGGGGGAGGAGGACGACAGGGGCTGTGGCACGGGAGGAAAATCGGGGGATCGGGATCGGCAATCGGGCCCGTGGAGGCCGGGCGTCTGATCGAAGCCATCGCATCCGAAAGCGTGAGGCCAACGTGCGAGAACTCTGCGTGGCGTGGCTCTCCTGGTCGCCAACCTCGCCGGCAGAGGAGGATGAAGAGGAGGACGACGATCAGCTGTCATGGAGGGCTCTGCCTTACAGTACCTTCGGACCTGGCTCATGGGGCGCTAGTGACCGCCAGATTTGCGCACTCATGATCTCTGCATCCGCGGCAACGCGAAAGAAACATGATAAGCGAACCATCCAAAGATCATCATTTGGCCATTAGTGAATCAAAAGTCATTGGCAGGTCATCAGTGGGCCATTCGTGGGTCATTATTGGGTCGAATACAACTGTGGGGCACGATTGGACAAAATTCATTACTGGGTCATTGGCGGGCCCATTATTGGGGCCATAGTGGCCCATTAGCGGGGTCTTAGCGGCTATTGGCAATGAATGTGTGGGCCATTAGCGGGGCGAGAAAATAGCGGGGCATGCCATTAACAACTGTGAAGGAACACCCTCCTTGAGAGCCGAGGTAATCTCGAAACGACATTGCAAGGATCGAGTGATGCGGCGGGGAGGCGGAGGCGGAGGAGGAGCCAGAGAGGGAGGAGGCGGAAAAAGAGGAACACGTAAGCAGGAAAAGAGTGACCATTGGGGCCAACGACGAAGAACTGACGCTTCAGACCGTGGGCCTCGGCGCCGTAAGGCTCGCAGAGCAACGCGTATAATTGCAAGCGCACCCTGCCAGTCAGCCCACTGCACCTTCGGATGAACGTCGCAAGCTGCTCACGCCGTCCCGCGTGGCACCACCCGCACGCGTGGAGGTGACAGAGCTCCCACCGCCGCTTGAGCCTAGCTCGCACTGGAGGGCTCGGGTTGAGCAGGGACCGACCGTCCAGGCATCCCTATACTCCTACCACGACATGTTCTGAGAACATCTCGCGGAAACCACAAACAGGGATTAGAACATTGTTTGGTAGGGCTATAGTGAAGGGGCCCACAAACACACAAATAAATACACACAAATAAAATTATTCCCTATATTTTCCCATATTTTCTAGGTTTCTGTCTTCCCCCCCACTTCCCATATTTTGCCATATTTTCTGGGAGTGGACGATTAATTGTGTCTGTGTGTTTTTTTCCCCTCCTGATATAGGCGAGCCAGGACGCTTCGCCACTGCTTGATCGGGGGCGGACCTCGCACGGACCAGCGGTGCCGCTCTCGCCAAGCGAAGCGGCCGAGGTCCGCAAGGCACCGTTCAGTGCCGGGCAGCGGTCGGGGGGCGAAGGTGGCAGGAGGCGCCACCCGGACTGGCACCGGCGCTACCTCTCAGGCCTCGGATCGGTTTGCAGCAGAGCGCGGCCAGGGAAGATCAGGAAGAAGAAGAAGAAGAAGAGCTCCTCCTCCTCCTCCTCCTCTTTCTTGACGTTGCGCAGACTTGAGGCGAGCGCCTGGAGCGTGCATCCTCCTCCTCCTCCTCCTCCTCCTCCTCTTCCTCCTCCTGGTCCTACGCCCCCAGAGGCGGCGCTTGGCGCCCGTCGGGACAGGGACGGCGGGCCCCCCTGCGTGCCGTAGCAGCAGCAGGCGCTTGCAGAGGCCGCAGGAGAGACCGCGGCAGGGAGAGGGGGGAGGCAGCAACAACAACTGCCACGGAACGAGAAACAAGGAGGACGAGGAGGAGGAGGAGGTGAAACAAGAGGAGGAGGGAGAGGAGGAGGAGGAAGCATGAGGAAGAGGAAGCAGGAGGAGAGAGAGAGAGAGAGAGAGAGAGGGAGGAGGAGGAGGAGGAGGAGGAGGCGGAAGCAGGAGGAGGAGGGAGAGGAGGAGGAGGAGGAGGAGGAGGAGAAGGAGGAGGAGGAGGAGGAGAAGGAACCCACGCCCCTGAAGAGGGAGGAGAAGGAGGAGGAGGAGGAGGAGGAGGAGGAGGAGGAGAGGCGGAGGCCTCCTAGATGAGGTCCGAGTAGACGGGGTCGGATGATCATCGACGATGCGTCGGCGAAGCATCGGCGACGTCGACGTGAAGCAAATCGGGCTGCACGTCGAGCCGCACTGGCGATGCATCGGCGAGGCGGCGCGATCCTCCGATGCCACCTGCTCCGACCCCAACTGGGAGGCCCCGAGAGAAACAGAAGGCAGCGGCGCACCGTTGACCGGAGAGGGCATGCGCGGCCGGGCCGGGGGCCGGTCGCTCAAGGGTCGTAGGGGGGCCCCATCAGAGAAACTCAATCCAGATGCCGTGGTGTGCGGGTGGGGAGACACTGCGACCTGTGCCCTGATGCAAGTGAGGGTGCAGCGCAGACCGATACAGCGACCCCGAAGCACTCCCGTCGATGCGACGCACGGGGGTGGGCCCAGGGGCCTTCGTAAGAAAGGGGGACAGGTTTGTGGGGGGCCCAGGGTAGAAGCCAGCAACACTTCCCGCCATGCGAACAAACTACAGATGGCTGCCTAGGTGCCGCTGAGCTCTGCCCTCGTTGTGTCACCCCTGGAACGCGACCGCGCCGTCCAAATCCGGGCGGGCGAGGGTGCACGCAGGCCGACAGCACTGTGCGCCACTCTGGGAAAAACCGGTGGCGCGCTTGGATCTCTTCCGCGCCTCCGAGCGTCGGAAGCGCGCGCGTGGGCGGCCGGCCCTGTACGAAGGCGGCTGGCAGCCTCATCGTCGTGGTCGTCGTCGTCGTCGTCGTCGTCGTCGTTGTCGTCGTCCCTCTCCAGGTGATCCTGGCCAACCACGCCCACCGCCTTGGCCAGTGTGCACTGGGGTGGGGAGTTGCCACCTGCCTCATTCGTCACGCTAACCTTCCCTTGCTTGGCGCCGCGGCCCGTTGCCTGTCCAGCAGTGTATTCATGCCGTCGGCAACGAGGGAGGATGATGAAAGTGATGATGACGGTCATGGCGGAGCGAGGATGAGATGGGAAATCCCGCCTCGACCAACTCGCGCACTACGCCGCAGCTGCATGGTCCAGCTCAGAGCCGAATGTAATAGATGTCGAAACGAGGCGGCCATTCACGAAATAGTCCGTGACATCCCAGCGGACGATGATTCTGATGATGTGTGATAATAGGGATGAAGATGATCATGGTGATGATGATGCTGATGATAATGATAATGATGATGATGATGATGATGATGATGATGATGATGATGATGATGATGATGATGATGATGATGATGATGATGATGATGATGATGGTGGTGGTGGTGGTGGTGGTGACGATGATGATGGTAATGATTGAAGGGGCCCAATGACACAACTACATAGACACAAATCCCAATATTCCCAAGCTACTCCATATTTCCTGGACGTTCGCCTTCCCCTCCATGTCCCATCGTGTACATATTTCCCAAGAGTCGACGATTATGTGTGTCTACGTGCTTTTCCTTCCTGAGTGTTGATGGTGGCAAGAGCGATGCGATGCTGCTGATGATGACGATGGTGTTGGTGGTGATGATGATGCTGATGCTGATGATGATTATGCTGATTATGCTGATGAGGATGATAATGATGATGACTCAGTTGGTGAGAATGGTGATGATGCTGCTGCTGATGATGATTATGACGGCGAGGATGACGTTGCTGCTGCTGGTCATGATCATGGTGAGGACTACGACGATGATGCTGATGATGACGATGATGATGATGCTGCTGATTCTGCTGATGCTGCTGATGCTGATGATGGTGCTGCTGATGCTGATGATGACCATGATGATGTTGATGATGGTGGTGATGCTGATGTTTCTGATGGTGAGGAGGATGCTGCTGATGATGGTGGTGTTGAACATGATGAAGATGATGATGCTGATGATGATGATGCTGCTGCTGATGATGATGATGCTGATGCTGATGCTGCTGCTGCTGATGATGATTATGACGATGAGGGGGGGAAGATGAGGAGGAAGAGGGGGAGGAGGAGGAGGAGGAGGAGGAGGAGGAGGAGGAGGAGGAGGAGGAGGAGGAGGAGGAGGAGGAGGAGGAGGAGGAGGAGAACCAGCAGGAGAAGCAGCAGGAGGAGGAGAATTACTACCGAAACGAAGAGCACGGGAATGCACAGGACGACGACGAGGGAGGGGGAGGAGGAGGACGGGGGCAGGGCGTGGGGACCACAGCTGCCCCCCGCCCGTGGGAGAACAAGGAGGCACCGCCACCGGCGCTCCCGCATGAGCCCACAGCCGGGGGAGCCGTGCTCCCGACCCCCCGGGGGGAACCCGTCGACCAGCCCTCGACGGGGGTGTCGAGGTCGATACTCCAGATTTCGTAATAAAAGGGAGGGGGTCTGGACCCTCCAAGACAAGCCATTTCAGACTTCCCTTGGGAGGTAACCTCCAACATCGTCCCCAGACCCCCCCAGGCCCTCCAAGATAGCCTGGCAGAGACCCCCCCCCCGAAATGAGACCCCCCTCCCTTTATTACGAAATCTGGAGTACCCCCCCAGCCCCAAGATGACCCCCCAAGAGGCGCAAACCATGCCCAAAGACGCCCCCAAGAAGCCCGAGGGAGCAAGACACCCCCAAAACCGCCCCCACGGTGGCAACTTTCTTGCGACGCTGCGGCAACACGGGTTGAGGCGCCGGCAAGCGGCCCAAAAGAGGCCCCCAATAAGCCCCAAGTGGCCCCAAAGAGGCCCCTGGGGAGGGGAAGGACCACAGATGGGCCCCAGTTGTGGCCGGTCTGGCCCCACGGACATTTCCCGTTGGTGCATTCGGATCAGGAGTTCGACGAGACACCAGTCGTGGCGACCAGAGCTCCCCAGGACGAGCAGCGGCATCGGTACTCCAGGTTGCTTGCTCAGCACTCACTCACCCGTGCCACCCTGACAGGCGGCCGATTCCGCCCCCCCCCCCCGACCACCGAGCCCACCCCCGCAAGCGATCCCGCCTCCTCAAGCCCTGCGGAGGACAGTCCATTTCTACACCCACACGCGAGCCGCCCCCGCACGCTGACGGAACAACTCGGAGTGCCCTTTTCCTGCCCTGATCCCTTGCCCGCCTTCGTGTCCAGCAGTCTCCGCAGAGCCTTCGCGGCGTCCCCCCAGCTCCCGACCTGCCCGTCGTCGCCGAGCCGGTCCAGCTGCACCCGCGCCAGCGCCGCCAGCCTCTCCGCCTCGCGCTCGGTCTCGGTGCAGATGCTTCTGCTCGAGTGCTTGTCCCAAGTTCTCGACTCGCCTCGGGCGCGCTGTCCCCTCCCTGTCTTGAGCAGGGACCGACCGTCCCGGCATTCCTATAGTCCTAACACGAAATTTTCTTAGAATCCAAACATGCTCTAAGAACAAAAACAACGTTCTTAGAGCATAAACCCGATGTGATAAAACAAGACAGCCTCAGCCAGAAATGTTCCAAGAACATTTCGTGGAGACCACGAAAAGTTCTTAGAACACTGTTTGGTAGGGCTATAGGCGAGCCACTGCTTGACTGTCTCCCTGCCCCTCTGCCTAACTCCTGGCCTCTGCGCCCCCGCCTGGAGATTGTTCCGTGTTGTCCGTGCCGTGTCGTGCGGGCGAGGCGAGGCGAATAGCTGCGCGAGTTCCCGCCCGTGTTAGAGCTAGGCTGGGCCAACAGGCACCGCCCCGTGTCCCGATCCTGGCACCAGGTGGCTCCCTGGTTGTCCCGCTGGCTGGCCCCATGATTGTCCCGATTGTTGCCGGTGCTTGTCCCATTGTCTGTTCCGGTGGTTGTCCCGATGGCTGTCCCACGTGGCTGTCACGATGGCTGTCCCGATAGTCGATCCGATGGTTGCCCCATTGGTTGTCCCGACGGTTGTCTCGATGGTTGTCCCGATGGCTGCCACGATGGATACTTAGTGAACTTGACAGATCGATGGAGACTGGGATCGATAGACTGACAGTGAGACAAGTAGATTGTAATACCGATAGATCAATGGATAATGTAAATACACTCGGAAACTAAATTATGGGACGGGTAAATGACATGATAACCGGGTCGGTGTGTGTATACATATATATATATATATACACCTATACGACCACCCTTCGGGTGATAAGAAGGTTGTGGGGGGGAGAAGCGGGGAACCAACATCTGACTCAATCGATCTCACGATCGATCTCACTCAACGGGACTCCACGGGACACCACGGGACACTTGTCAATCTCACTATCGATCTCACTCAACGGGACACCGCGGGACACCACGGGCCACCGCGGGACACCACGGGACACCGCGGGACACCTCTCGATCTCAATATCGGTCTCAATATCGGTCTCACTATCGATCTCACTCAGCGGGACACCTGAGGACACCACGGGACACCTCATCGATCTCACGATCGATCTCACTATCGATCTCACTCAACGGGACACCCCGGGACACCTCGGGACACCTGTCGATCCCACTATCGATCTCACTCAGCGGGACACCACGGGACACCTCGGGGCACCGCATCGATCTCAATATCGATCTTACTATCGATCTCACTCAACGGGACACCTCGGGACACCACGGGACACCTGTCGATCTCACTATCGATCTCACTATCGATCTCACTCAACGGGACACCACGGGACACCACGGGACACCTCGGTGCACCACATCGATCTCAATATCGATCTCAATATCGATCTCACGATCGATCTCACTCAACGGGACACCACGGGACACCACGGGACACCGGCGGTACACCGCGCGGCACAAGCCGCCGGAGGAGCAACATTTGGTCCGTCCGCGTCCCAGCCACAGGAGGATTTCGGGACACCAGCGGGACACCTGCGGGACGGGGACACCGCGGGGCACCGGCCGCCTGAGGAGTTACATTTGGTCCAGCCGCGGCCCAGCCACAGGAGGATTTCCTCTCGCCCGCCCACGCAGCTTCGCCTCGCCCGCACGCACGCACGGCACGCACGACACGAACCCGAAACCGAAATCGATTTCCCCATAGGGGGGGTCTCCGTTTCACGTCGGACTCACCCCCCAACCTCCGACATCGTAAAACTGGTATCCAATCTTTCACGAGATTGAGAGATACATTGGTAGTGACATCGGAGTGACGACATACATCCAGATATGATACGTATACCATTGTACCTACATGACTAGTTAGTTCGACCGCCAAATCTATCAGTAACTTGGCAATGCTACCGACACACATACATACACCTATACGACCACCCTGCGGGTGATAAGAAGGTTGGGGGGCAACAGTGGGCAAAAAAGAGTGATTGTTGTTATGACGATCACCTTCTGATCTGGCCAACAGCTGGGGGCACGGCGGGACACCGGCGGGACACCAGCGGGACACCGCGGGCCTCCGTTTGACGGGAGGAGCATCATTTGGTCCGGCCGCGGCCCAGCCACAAGAGGATTTCGGGAAAATTGCGGGACACCGGTGGGACACCGCGCGGCACCATCCGCCGGAAGAGAAACATTTGGTCTGGCCGCGGCCCAGCCACAGGAGGATTTCGGGACACCCGCGAGACACCGGCGGGACACCGCGGGGCACCGGCCGCCTGAGGAGTTACATTTGGTCCAGCCGCGGCCCAGCCACAGGAGGATTTCGGGACACCAGCGGGACACCGGCGGGACACCGCGGGGCACGGAGGAGTTACATTTGGTCCGGCCGCGGCCCAGCCACAGGAGGATGTCCTCTCGCCCGCCCACGCAGCTTCGCCTCGCCCGCACGCACGCACGGCACGCACGACACGAACCCGAAACCGAAATCGATTTACCGGTAGGGGGGGTCTTCGTTTCACGTCGGACTCACCCCCAACCTCCGACATATATATATATATATATATATATATATACATATATATATATATATGCAAGTGGCACGTGTGCCCAGGCTCATACAAAAAAAAACTGAAGGGGCGCTTGAAGCAGGAGTGAAATGCAACAGCGAAGTCGCACTCGAGCGCAAGTGGGGTTGTCACACCTTGCGATGTGTGTACCAGCCCCCAGGAAGCCTCAGGAGGCCCGCCTTGGATACCAGAAGAGGCTCCAGGAGGCCCCAGGATTGTGAGTGTTGTGTGTGTGTGTGTGTGTGCGTGTGTGATGTGTGCTCTGTGTTGTGCGTGCTTTTTGTGCGTTGTAGGTGTTGTGTGTGTGTGTGTGTGTGTTATGTTTGTCTAGCGTGTGATGTGTTGGGCGTGATTTGTGTCTCTGTGTGTGCATGTAGTTCTGAAGCCCCAGGAGGCCCCAGGAGGCCAGGCGGCCTCAGGAGGCCCCAGGAGACCCCAGGAGGCTTCAGGAGGCCACAAGAGGCTCCAGGAGGCCGCAGGAGGCCCCAGGAGGCCCCAGGAGGTTTCAGGAGACCCCCAGGAGGCTCCGAGGCGGGGTCTGGGGTACCAGAAGTTTCAGAAAGCCCCAGGAGGCCCCAGGAGGTTCCAGGAGGCCCCCAGGAGGCTCCGAGGCGGGGTCTGGGGTACCAGAGGGTACGTCGGGGCTCGATTTTGGGAGGATGTTTCAGGCGAAACCGCCATTCTCTGAGAATCGGGGTCAACATTATTGAAATTACCATGTGTGTTTGAAGGTTTTATGTTTAAATGTTGAAATTCCCATGTGTTTTTGGACCCTGACGTCACGATCTGCGCGAGGGGTGCCACCGATTTTCAGAATTTCGAGGATGCCCCTAGCGAAACGGCCAGACAAATCGCGGACGCGGCGCCCCGCGTACGCATTAATCGCCTCTGAGCTCTACTCCCTCGGAGAGGTGCGTATGATAATATATATATATATATATATATACATATATATATATACACACATGCACAAATAGCTTAAGATGGGACTGATAGCGACGGGTATCAATAGAGAGGTATCGGGAATGTTAGAAATATAGATCGCGAGCCTGATCCAATGCCAATCGCGAATCGACAGCTGCACCCCTCCAAGACTCCCAATATCCTTCTTGCCCGAAGGGTGGTTGGTCTATGCCGTGTCGCTCCTTACACACACCCAACATCATACACTTAGTGAAGCACCGAACAATCTACATCACACTGTCAAGACGTATGAGCTGCAGCGAACGGCGTATGTTACTAACAATCCAATCCGCCGCAGTAGTGACATCTCAGCCCGCCTATCTAGCACTATCATTCGGTCGGGCATGCCCCCCCACAGGCGAATTTTGGATGAACAATATAAGATACTCAGACAGGTAAAACAAATCACTCAACGTAGTGAAGCACCGTCCCCGACTATTCTTTACCATTGTTGTATATACCTCCCGTAGAAGGACGTGCCCGACTTGACGCTACCATGCTCTAGCTATCGGCGATGCTGTGTAACCATCTACCTACTTGAGCAAGGACCGACCGTTCCGGCAATCCTATAGGCCTACCATCGAATGTTCTGATAAAACATGAATGTTCGAATAACAAAAGCAAGGTTCTTAGAACTGAACCCCGATGTGCTAAAACAAAACAGTCCACGCCAGAAATGTTCTAAGCACATTTCGTGCGAACCACAAAAGGTTCTTAGAACATGTTTGGTGGGCCTATAGGCGAGACAAGACGCTTCGCCACTGCATGAACCTACTGAAAAGACACGCGCGGGACCAGCGCAGGGGACAGCCGCACGGCACAACCACGGGACGGCCGTGCGAGCCAGCCGCGCGGGACGGCCACCCACATTCGTGCGTTTTCTCTGCTCTCGCCCTGCCATCTGCCCCCAAACCTCCATCATGCCCCTTCCATCCGCTCTTCACCCCAGCCCCCCACCCTCTCCGTTCTCCTTCCAACCCACGCGACCGAATCGCCTGTCTGTTCAAGCCCGATGTGGTTGTCGCGGTCGCTGAAAGACCTTGGTGGCTTGGGTCCCCTTGATCCCAAGTCAGGCAGCAGTGCTGAGGGAAACAGCAGGAGGAGCAGCGATCAGCAGGAGCGGGAGCAGGGACATATCGACTCCATTTCCAACAAGGAAAGGGATTTCGTGGGGAAGCCAACGCCAGGAATGAGCCTCCAGACGCAGGAAAGGCGAGCGAGCAGGCCAAAGCCTCGCGTGCCGAAGCACTGGCGCCACCGCGGGCGATCGCCAATCATGGGCCCCCCACTTCGTAGAAGACCTAATGCCCGCCACAGTGCTTGGAGCACGCGGTGGAGTGCCCCATGGCTCACGCAGCCCTGAAGGCCTGAAGGATAGAGGGGCCCCAAGAGTGCCCACAAAGGCTCCCAAGATGCTCCCTCCTCCTCCTCCTCCTCCTCCTCCTCCTCCTCCTCCTCCTCCTCCTCTCCTCCTCCGCCTCCTCCTCCTCCGCCTCCTCCTCCTCCGCCTCCTCCTCCTCCTAGCGCCAGCGCGGATCTGGCCGTCGCCTTGGCGGGGTCAGCGAGCCCGCGCCAGGCGACCCCCAGGCCGCTGCCCTCCCCACCCGTCCTCTCGTCCGCTCTCCTCGTCTCCACCCCCCGGGCCGCGGAATGGTGGCGCCGCCATGGTGCCTGACGGTGGGGCGCCCGCAGCGCCCTCACTGGACGGCTGCCGAGCGGCGTGCCCAGGCGGGCCGCGCGCAGGCTCGGGCCGTTCAGGCCTTGCTGCGCGCCTTCAGCGGCATGGAGCACCGCGGCTGCCGCTCCACGCGGCTGGGGGCCGCCCTCCGGGACACGCTTCTCGTGGCGCAGGTCGGCGACCGGAGCGGAGCACATGCTGATGAAGCCGAGAGCCCTACGGTTGGAGCAGTGGCGGAGGATGGAGATTTCTTATTCACCATGTCGCGCGAGGGCACCTCCCAGAGGGCAGAAGCTGATGCCGAGGCTGGAGGCACTCTGATCGCCAGCTCGTCCGAGGTTGAAGCCCGTGCAGCGAGGCTCTCAGCTGTGAAATTCGCGGCTGCAGAGGCCGCGTTGGCAGCAGCGCAGGTGAAGGCGCCCACACCCCTCAGCAGCTCGGCGTCGGAGTTCCTCCCGTTCAGCCCGCCGCTCCAGGAGTCGACGGTCGAGGACGGGGGGATCGCCGCTGCGGCGCCTTGGGAGAGGAGCGAAACCCGAGCACGGCTGTTTCGGGATGATGACCTCCTTCGAGGCGCTGGGGCACAGAGAGGCGCCGTGCCGACTGGCCCACCGATCAACTGGGCAGCCATAGGCGACAGCGGAGCGCTCCCGAGTGCATCGTCGGCATCGCCACCCACAGGTGAGTGCCCGCAGTCGTGAAGGGCAGCCCCGCGGCGTTCGGGCACGGCTCGAAATTCTAGTGGTGGGTCTGGGGCCGTCGCGGGCGGGGTTTGCTCTTGTCTGGGTCTGTTATCGGGCTTCCTCGTCGTGCCGCGGGGTCGGCGCACAGTGTAGAGCAGTCGAATGGAATGCTCGTGCAGCGGAGGGCTCTTCACTCCCACATGCTGTTTGTATCGTGCTTGTTGGGTAGTGCAGTTGATTCGGTTTGGATATCACCTCGTGATGGCGTCCACTCCACCTCACTCTTCCTCCTCCTCCTCCTCCTCCTCCTCCTCCTCCTCCCCCTCCTCCTCCTCCTCCACCTCCTCCTCCTCCTCCTCCTCCTCCTCCTCCTCCTCCTCCTCCTCCTCCCCCTTCTCCTCCTCCTGCCTCCTCCTCCTCCTCCTCCTCCTCATCCTCCTCCTCCTCCTCCTTCTCCTCCTCCTCCTCCTCCTCCTCCTCCTCCTCCTCCTCCTCCTCCTCCTCCCCACCTTCTCCCCTCCTCCGCTCTCCCTCCTCCTCCTCCTCCTCCGCTCCTCCTCCTCCTCCTCCTGCTCCTCCTCCTCCTGCTCCTCCTCCTCCTGAACTTCCCTGCCATCCTCCCCCAAGTGTTCCCCGAAGGGTTTCCACATCGGCTGGGGGAACACATGGTCTGATGGGTTGGCAGAGCTCTGGCCACAACGCTCGGACACATGGGCGATTTCAAACTTCTTGCCCCCCCACGCGTTTTCCGAAGGCTTTCCGAACCGACTCGGTCAACAACTGGCCCGATAGCTTGGCCAAGCTCCAGCCCAGTTGTCGGCAACATCAGCGCCTCCACAAGGGCAGGGGGCGGCGGTGACTCGCGACTCGCCGTAGGCGTCTTCGATAATCCCATCAACCCTCTGGTCTAAGGCGCTTCCTCTTCCAACCCTTTCTGTCACTTCGGGGACGGGTTTGATCCCTGCGGCTGAGGAAGAAACACCCCCGTCCCCACTCGACCGGCGGCCGACCAAGCACCACGCCGACCCCCGCCTCGCCACCCAGGCCAACAAGCAGCACAACATATCTTTTCTGGAAAAGTCTTGGACCTTCGGCGGGGGGGGGGGGCGCGATCACTAAAGCGCCTCAGTGCCCAAGGAGGGCAAGAGGAACAGCAATGGAGGAACCTAAGGAACATCAAGCCCCTTCCGAACCCACCTTGTTCCTCATTTCAGCGTCTTGACTGGAGCCCACCTGGTACTGAGACTTGGGTGCTACTTATTTGCTGGGAGGGCGGGTGGCAGTGAGCGAGACGGATTGGGGCCGTCCTTCAGGGTAGCCTGGCCCCTCCCCCTCCCCTCTTCCCCTGGGTCTGGAGGGGGCGCCCCGTGACCAGTGAGAGCGCCCACGAGGGCCCAAGATGGCTTATGACCTCCAAGATGGGGTAAGCTATTCCAAAATCGCTCAATGTGGCTTCCAACGTTGGTGGGTCTGTTTCCCACCACCACCACTACCATACGTAGGAGGGGGAGGATGTCCTCCTCCTCCTCCTCCTTCTTCTCTTCCTTCTCCTCCTCATCCTCCACCTCCCCCCTCCAACTTATGGTGGTGGTGGTGGTGGTGGTGGTGGTGGTGGAAAACAGGCCCATCAAACATGCTCCAAGAGCCCCCAAACTTCCCTCCAAGACGGCTCCGATGGCCATGGAGTCTGCCAAGGATTCCCCCAGTAGGCCCAAATCTCTCCAGCGCCTGAAGGAACCAACCGAGTTCTGCATTCTCGCATGTTCGCTTCCGACGACCGTCCAAGGCCTCACGATGGCTCCAAACTTGCCCAAACGGGCCCAGGGGGCACGAGAGGCCTCCAAGACGTCCCCCAAGAACGTACACAGACCCTCCACGAACGTCATGAGAGGAACACAGGAGGCCATTCTTTGATGGGCCTGCTTTCCACCACCACCACCACCGTAAGTTGGAGGGGGAGGAGGTCCTCCTCCTCCTCCTCCTCGTCGTCCTCCTCCTCCTCATCATCCTTCAACTTATGGTGGTGGTGGTGGAAAACAGGCCCATCATCCTTGAGATCTCCACATGGGCGGGGCTAACGAAGGACGCCCCCCTTCGCTCAGAGACCACACCATCGAACAACGAGTTGTTGGATGTGGGTGCAACTCTTCGGATGTGGGTGCAACTCTTCAGTCATTGTTCACGTTAAAGACCACGGGTGGCACACAACTACCTCGCGAATGGAAAGGTCGCTAGGCATACTGGGAACACAGCACAAGCCGATCTGCAGGAGGCAAACTCGTGCTTTGAACCGTTGCCAGCACAACAGATTGACAAAGCAGTTGCGACAGGAATAATGAGGACGAAGAAGGAAGAGTGGGAAGGGGAGGAAGAAATGAGAGGCAGGAGAGCCAAACGAAGACTTGCGCGCAGGTGCCCCTGACCGGTGACGACGGCGAGACTCGCGCAGATACTCGAGTGGAGAGAACGGAGAGGCGAAAGAGGAGGGCGGCAAACATTGACATACATGCGCAGAAAATGCAGCGCCCCAGAACAAATCCAGCATATCGATGGGCGGGGACTGTCGGCGAGCTAGTGCCAACGACGCGAGGCATAGTCAGTTGAAACAAGCGGTGGTGGTGGTGGTGGTGGTGGTGGTGGTGGTGGTGGCGGTGGTGGTGGTGGTGGTGAGGAGGAGGAGGAGGAGGAGGCGGAGGAGGAGGAGGAGGAGGAGGAGGAGAAGAAGAAACAGGAGGAGGAGCAAGACACAGCGCTGCGCATGGACTCGGGGCGGCCCCCCTGTACTGGGATCGGCTGGAGAGACCCGGTGGCCGGCCGATGGCCTCCCTCTGATGCAACCGGCGCAAGCGCCAATTTACGGCGGACTCTAGAACCTCCCATTCGAGGTGCACGGCACCGCCCTTCCGTCTGCCAGCTTTCAGTCGAATCGAATGTTGTCGCTGTGCTGTGCCTGTTCCGCCCCTTGCCCCCCTTCCCACTCTCCCTGGCCACCTGGCCATACAGGCCAAGAGGCTGGCGTGGCACGTCCTTGCGCAGACGGGGCGGGTTCGTGGTCATTCATGGCCCCTCCAGTCTCCAGGGCAACCAGAAGGCTTGCTTTCGATAGATTTTGGCGCTTGGAAGTCTGTAGCCAAGCATACGGAGGGCCGCGCGCGCGGTGATGAGGGGCGCGCTCAGGTGACACCAGATGAGGTGAATGCTGGCAAATGGCGCTCTGCAGCTGCACCTCTTGGAAGAAGACCAAGAGAGCTGCGGCCGCACCTGAACCCTGCCCGAGTGAGTGTCAGACGCGTGCGGTACTGCCAAGTGCCTCTGCTCGCGACTAGTGCGGTCGGCCATCGCGTTCGAGTCGCCTTCGTTACAAGGGGAGTGGACGTAGACTTGCGCAGCGGCAGCGCCCAACCTCGTCGCAATCGTCCTGCACCCTCTTTGGGCGAGCACGCGAATGGCGATAAGTGTAACCCCACAGGCGTGTACCACCCTAGAACGTAATCAGCATCACGCGCCTCCTAGATGCCGCCTTCGCCCCTCACCCGCACTACATACGGGATGTCGCCAGGTCCTGCCACACTCAGGAAGACCACGCTTAGACAGATCTGGCAAAGTGCTACCGCAGTCTGTGCTGGGAGCGGTGATATGTGCGAATCGCGTTCGAAGGCTGGGCAGCGAAGGCAGCACTTCCGAAATGCTTCTCTTCCGCACGTGCGCGCGCCCTCGCGTCTCGAACGACAGCAGCCCCAGCGTAGGAAGACGAGGCGCCGAGTTCAGCAGGCGATGCGAATCTGATTCCTCAACTTTCAGAAAGTCATCGTTGTCCCCCATGGAACCTGCGAGTTGGCTCTCAGGATCATCTGCGCCTCGCATGGCGCACCAAGGCTAGCCCGCGCGGGATCCATCCGCCCCGATGCACAGTGACGACAAAGTTTGAGACAAGTTACCTACTACACCGATGAGGGCACTGCAAAGGAGAGTGCTCTCTGGTTTGGCGCTCACATGTCTGCGTTGCCCACAAGCAGGACAAGCGGCAAAACAACAGACAGGGCATTCAGAAGCAGCAGGGTCACCCTGCGCCACATTCAAGAGCGCAGCGACACAACGCGCGGGGGCCACGGCCCCGGCGCTGTGCTCGGCCTGGCCGCGCTGCCACGGCAGCCTGGCTCCGACGCAGGTGGTCCGCGATGACGGCACCGAAGGCCCTCCCGGGTACATCACGCTCGACCCTCCTGTTAAGTCGGGCGTGTCCCCCCGCAGGGGGATTTTTGACGAAAAACAAAAAATACCCAAACAATAACCAACAAAATAATCCAGAAATAGTCTGGGGACTATTTTTTGAATACTTTTTGACATTTTTGGTGCATTTTTGGTGTATTTTATATGTTTCGTCGAAGATCCCCCTGTAGGGGGACACGCCCGACATAACCCTCCTGCTCCAGAGAGAGAGAGAGAGAGAGAGAGAGAAAAAGAAAGAGAGAGGGAAAGGGAGAGCGTGCCGGCAGCGCGGCAGCAGCACCGTCGATTGTCGAACAGGCTGGCGATCCCAGCTGCAGCGACGAGATCTAAGCTCACCCCCCCGAGCATGCACTTTGAGGCAAACCGCTCGCGCGAGATGATCGACCTCGAAGTTCGGACCAGACGCGGGAGCGCAGGCGCGAGACGCGCGCGGCCGAAGATGAGCCAATGCGGTGCGGTTGAGCGGAGGGGGCGACAGCAAAAGGAAGCACCCGCACGCGCACAAGCACACAGATCGCCCTCCCTCCTGAAAAAGAAATTGGCCTGAGAAAACCTTCCTGCGGAAAGTACCTCCGGAGACCCCTCCAACCTCAGACAGGCACCGCCGAGGGGGCCCAGGGCGCCGATCCAAGAATTCTGCACGGAGCTCCGAAAGCTTATGTTACATGCCTTATGTTCATCTTCGATGGCCCCCGACCGAAGCCACGAAACCCGTCGCCGTCGCCGTCTCCGCAATCACTCATATCCGACCACGCGTAAAAATGCAACATTGTGAAGCAAACACGACCAGAGCCCCAGAGCCCTCATCTTCCTGCGGCAATTCTCGAGCTGGATCGATCCGTAAGGGTCCTGGGGCCCGACACAAAGCAGAATCGCCCGCTGTGAAAAATGCCGCGCAAGGGTCCCAGGGAACCGCGAAACCCGCCGCCGCCTTCGCCATGCTCGCAGTCGCCGTTGCCGCCGCCGCCGGCCGCTGCCGCTGCCGCCGCTGCCGCCATCGTCGTCGTCGTCGACGCCGCTGGCCGCTGCCGCCGTCGTATTCGTCGCCGCCGCCGTCGCCGTCGTCGCCGTCGCCGCCGTCGCCGTCGCCGTTGCCGTCGCCGCTGCCGTCGTCGGCGTCGTCGCCGCCGCCGCCGGCCCTTTGCCGTGCCCCGAGGGGTGCCCGGGGCCCGGGCAGGAGGGAGGAGCTGGACGCCTGGTGCTCGAGGCCTGCGCGCGGCGCGGGGCGGCGGCGCTCCTCCTCCTCCTCCTCCTCCTCCTCCTCCTCCTCCTGAGGGCCCCGACGCGTGGGGCGCGAAGGCGTCTGGGGGACTGAGGTGGCCTACTCTCAGGTCGGGCCTGTCCCCCTACAGGAGGGATTTTGGGCGAAAAATTAAACATATACTCAAGTGTCCCAGTGCGGCCCTACCTAGGAGTTGGAGCCTCTAGGAAAGAAACATTAGCAGCAGCAATAGTGGATGCTGTGCTGCGCTATGCTATACTATACTATGCTATGCTATGCTATGCTATGCTATGCTATGCTATGCTGCGCACTGCTATGCTATACTATGCTAGGCTAGGATAGGGTATGATATGCTACGCTATGATATGCTGCGCTGTGCTATGCTAAGCAATGCTATGATATGCTATGTTATGTTGCGCTATGGTATGATATGATATGATATGCTCTGCTATGCTATGCTATACTGAGCTATGCTATGCTATGCTATGCTGTGCTAATGCTGCACTGCGCTAAGCTAAGCTAAGGTAAGTTAAGTTATGCTACGCTGAGCTAAGCTAGGCTAGGCTAAGCTAAGCTAAGCTAAACTAAGCCAAGCCAAGCTCAGCCAAGCCAAGCTAGGCTAGGCAAAGCTAAGCTAAGCTAAGATGAGATAAGCTAAGCTAAGCTAAGCTGGGTGAACCCAGGGGGCGCAACTGGGGGAACCGCGGGGCGGATGCCGGGGCAGCCGCCCGGGGCGCGTTCCACTGCCCGGCCCCCTTAAGATACAGGGTTAGAACCCAATAGACAGAGCCTAGGTAGGGACAAAAATCCCAAACTGCAGAAAAATAGTCTAGTCCAACAATCGCCCCCATCTTAGTATCTGGCTATTTTTGAATATTCCTCCTGTGGAAGGACAGGCCCGACTTAAGCCTACTCCTCCCCTGCTTCGCTTCCCCCTTCCGACTGCACACGTCCGCCGCGGCACGCTTCGAGTGGCAACCTCAGAGGCACCATGCCTGCTTCGAGGGACCGCCGCGACTGGAAAAAGCCACGCCGTCGAAGGCCTGGGAAGATCCGGCCGGGCGAGGCGTCGTGCCGGCAACAAGCCTGCCTCGATCGAGCCGCTTCGCGCAGCGCTGGTTCCGGCCAGCAGGGAGGGGGCCAGGCTGGAGGTGCTGGGGTCGACGCGGTATTTTGCCTTTTTCGGTCTTCAAGTAAGGAGCCGAACTCTCTATACACCGACGCTGTTTCCGGCCCTGCACTGAGATTCGCACAGGAGAGCGGACCCTGGTGTATACGGGATTGTGGTGTATACATTTTCCGTTGTCTCCCCGGGGAAACGAAGAAAACATATACACTACACCACCCCGGCGTCGTCCCCGACCCTCAAAAAGTCTTGGGATTGAAAAACAGCCCGCCACTGGTAATGTGCATGTTCCAATTTACGACCAAGGGCCGCTTCGGGCCCCGGGACCGTCAAAACTCGATCCGGGGTGAAAAACTGCACCACGTGGGCCCCGGGAGAGGTCTGGGGACCGATCTTGAACGGATTTGCCCTCATCCCCGATTCTTGGCCGATTATTCCAGGGCTCATCCAGTTCAGACCCCCTGGCCGCCCAACGTGATGGAACTGCGCGCTTGCGCCGGGACCCTCGCAAACCGATCCGACTCGAAAACTGGCGCAGAAAGATGGGGTCCGAGGCTCTGGTCGTGATTTCTTACGATGGTGTACTTTTTCTCTATTTCAGCGAGGGGTGAACATGGCTCCGGGGGAGGCGCGAGTGGAAGAGGATGAGGATTAGGACGATCCAAGTCTCCTTTCGCGGCGACAGAACGAAAAACGCGACGGTCGGTTTTGGGCCATTCTCGGCCCAAGGGGGCCCTGGGTGAGGCGGGGCCGTGAAACAAACGGCCTGGGGTGAAAAACTAGTTCTGGAGAAGTGGTCCAGATCTCCAGGGGTCCCCGATGTGGAAAAACGACTACATCGGGGTCCTGGGGACGTGGAGGAAGACGAGGAACAGCGGCCGCAGCAGCAACAGCACAAGCACCGCACCGAGGGCGAGGAGGAAGCGGGGGGCAGCACACCAAAAAACATCGTAGACTCTCCGCCTCGGCCATGCCCTTTCCCCTGCGTCTCCCCTTTCCCGACCCCTCGGAGAAAAGCAGCGCCCACCCTGCCTCCAGACCGCCCCCTCTCCCTTGACCCCCCCTGCCCCACGGAACGATGAAGAAGCTTCGTCGCTCCCCCTTCTCTGCCTGGCAGGGCGAGAGTGAGCAGTATGGCACGAGCAGCTCGAGCAGGGACGCTCCATGAAGGCGGGCTCCGCAAACTCAGAAGCCAAGAAACCTTGCCACCTCTTGTGGGTGCAGCCGGCTTCCGCTGGCCTTCCGCCAGCGGAGGTACTCACCCCCACCGACCTTCCGCCGCCCTCCACCAAGGAAGAGATGCCACCCCCCTCGATTCTCGAAGGCGAGGCCTTCCTTAGGAGGCAAACGAACTTACCTCGCTTTTGACCACCTCCGCTACCAAAAGATGCCGAACGATGCCAAACTACCGCCCGCACCGTTCAGGCCGCTTGACGAGGAGGCGCGTGCTATGACTTGGTTTTGCCCGGAAGCGACAGCGGGGTAGGTCATGCACGCCCTGCTTTCTGGAGAGCGCCACGAAACGCGCCACGGCGGCTCTCCGAGGGGCCCTGGGGATCCCCCGAGGCTTGGCCCCGTCGCAGCGCCCCAGGCGCCTCCACAAGAAGAAGAAGAAGAAAAAGAAGAAGAAGAAGACGAAGAAACGCTATAAACAGAAACTGTTGGCGCTCCGCGCGGATTTCCTGGGTCTGCGCTGGACCTCCCTCCCTGGCGCGCGGAGCGCGCCAGGGGCGGCGCCGGAGGCGCCGCCGGGGGGCCCAGCGCGGATCTAAGCAATCCGTGCGGAGCGCCAAAAGTTTATCTTCATGGCGTTTCTTCTTCTTCGAGCCTCCCCGCCTCAGACCGCCAGCTGCTCGCGGGCCAGGGGGGGGCCGAGTGGCCAAAAGGGGCCCCACCCACTGCCTGGCTTTGGCCCCGACCCGTCTCCAGGGTCGAGCAGGGACACTTCATTTTCACACGCCTTCCATGCGCTTGCCGGGCCCCCAGAGGCCCCCCGGAGAGGCCTCCAGGGACCCCCTGGGATCCGGATCCGCGGCGGCCAAAACTGGACGGGCGCGTTTCACTGCTCGCAGAGTAGCTACTCGCAAATGGCCTGGATACGCCGCGGGGGATCTACGATAAGTTACATCAAAGCCGACATGTGTTTTTTTTCGGACGTTTGCGAGTAGGCACTCTGCAAGTAGTGGACCGCGCTCGGCGAAAAACTTACCGAGAGCCTGGCATCGTATGCGCAATGCCGGGGGTGGCGGCCCGCCTTCCCATCCCACCGTCAAAGGGGGATGCGAAGTCCCTGAAGCTGGGAAGGGGTGGGCACGAGCGGGCGCCATAGTCGGCTCAAAATCAAGCGAGGCATCATAGCCTCATCGTTCATCTGAGGAGAACAATAGCTGTCGTGTTGGGAGGAATCGGAAAGGGCTGGGAGGATGAAGGGTACGAGCAATAGCAGCGGGATGCAATGAACGATCCCTTCGGCCGCCTACGGGTAATTAAGGACATCCTCATCTCTCCCAAGCCCTATCCTCCCAGCCCGATAGTTGTCTCCCCGATCATCTGATCATTGGCTTCATTATATATGCTTAGGCCGGGCATGTCCCCCTACAGGCGGATATTGGACGGAAAAGTCAAAATGCCAAACAAATATTCAAACAATACTCAGCAATGGTCCAGAATCGTCCCCGTTGTTTTAACTACTATTTTTGAATATTCCTCCTGCAGGGGGACAGGCCCGACTTCCTTCTATGCTAGAAGCCTCCTAGATGGGGTCCGAGTAGATGGGGTCGGATGATCGCGCCGCATCGCCAATGCATCGTCGATGAATCGGCGATGCATCGGCGATGCATCAGCGACGTCGGCGATGCATTGGCGACGTCGGCGTGGGGAAACACGGCCTCCACATCGAGCCGCATCGTCGATGCATCGGCGATGCGGCGCGATCCCCCGACCCCATCTACTCGGACCCCATCCAGGAGGCCTAGATATGCGCAGCAGGCTCTCCCCTGGCCCGGGCGGCGTGGGCAGGGGCTCCTTTGCTGACGGGCCAGGGCGGGGGCGCCGCCCAGAGAGCCGCGGCCGTGGCCCGCGGAACGCCCTCCACTCTTGAATCGGGCGCGCTCTTCGAGTAGGGGATCGACTACAGAATTGACTCACCCAGAAATTGATCTGCTCGTCGAGTTTGCGAGGATTGCGCAGGATGTCCTACTGATCGGCAAACGCTCCACGTATTTTTCTTAAGTTCGACGAGACAATCAAGTTGAGGGTAAATCAATTATGTCGTCGATCCCCTACTCGAACGCTGACGTGGACCACGGGCCAGGGAACGTACCGCCTGAAACATGGGGCCAATGCCGCTGGACTTTCTTATCGACAGATCGCGCCGATGGTCTACGGAAGCGGGACCCGTCGCTGATCCGCGCGCCTCCATCCAAGTTTGCGCTTCCTTGACTCGTGTCCTCCAGCTGGCTCCTGCAATGTCCTGGTAAGGCGACTCCGAAGGGTGTGGTTTGCAAAGGAGTGCGGTTCGCCACCTGCACCCGAGGAAGGCGGGCGAGGACCTCGACAGACTTCTCCGCCGCGCTTCGACGAGGCCCGGCGAGGGAACCGTGGTGCCCTCCAAGATCCAACGACGCAAATCGCAAACCACACCCCAACGTAACCACACCCTTTGCAGTCGCTGACTGGTCTCGTGCCTCCCTTGGGTCCCAGGGGGCCCCTGTAAGGCTTCCCTAATGGAGGATGACGATAAATAAATGACCGGGGGTCGTGTTCACGCGGCGGCGCCCGGGATGACGATTAGAAAAAAACCGGCCGCGGGCTGGAAAACTTTTTTTTCAATCGTTCTCCTCCAGTCAGAAAATTATGCAGAA